ATGTCTCATGCCTTCTTTTACCAAAACTATACAACTTCTTTCCAATTAGAAGTTTTAACTATTAGAAACCTGAATTTTTAAGTGACAAGTATGTAATTAACATTACTCAGATTAGCAATACATTTACAATTTTAAGAGATATAAAATAAAATACAAGACATATTCATTAATAGAGTCAAATCCATTCTCTAGATTCTCTGTATAAGCCAAAAGTAGGCAAACTCAGATTAATATTTCAGTATTCCGTTATTTCAAAATACTTAGATATTTAATACTTTTACTATTTAACTCAGAAGAACTCCAAAGTTTTAAGTTACAAAAGACTTTACAATTTTTTTTTATGTATTTACAAAGTAGGAGTGGCCCCTGCCTGAGGTACTTCTGAAGCTCTGGCCTCCTAGGAGAAAAACTTGAGGGATTTACAAGGTTTTATTTCCCATATTTTCCCTTCTGAGTAGACTGTAACAACACAAAATCTTGCATATAAGAAGAGGTCTTATCCTATTTCAAAACATAAAAAACAACAACCCCTGAAGTAAATGGATGAGTACTCCCAAAAGGAGGGACTGGGGCATTAGCCTTAGAATCTTCTCACACTAACCCAGTACAACAAATGACCTTCGGTTCTGAGGGGCACAAATCCAAAACAGCAGAGACAGAGGATTACCTGTGTTCATAAAATGGTGAAGAGTAAACTAAGCTCCCCAAAAAATAAGAAAGCAAGCCAAGAGCATCCTTAACCAAAGTTACATTATAGATAGACAAAACTATCACTAGCCAAGCATTTTGGGTAGCTGCCTTGAGAGGGAGCTCAGAGAGGGTCCCCAAGAGTAAGAACTCTCTGCAGCTGCTAGGAAGTTCCTGCAATCCCTTCCATGGGTTCAGCCTGCCATAAACAGCTGGGGCCCCCAACAAAGTAGGAAATACCCTGTCTTTAATAAACAAAGCGACACAAAACAACAATCAACAGAGAGATTCACATACAATATTTACAGGCATGCATAACCCACAGACAAGAGCTTCACACCATGCTTTCCCAAACACTAATATCCTCTTGTCCCCAGTTAAGAGGCCATTTAAGAGTGCCTGGGTATACTCCCAGGTGGGGTTATGAGTGGCGAATATGGAAATAAAGTCCTGATCTTAGCATGGTCATCCAGGTAGGAAGTTTTCCAATTTAGCCAATCTGAGGTGGAAAATGGGAGTATGGGTCCAATAATATTCTGCTGAGTGCCCATTCTCAGTGGCTCCTACTGTTATATGGTGGAGAGGGAATTGTTCTGCTAGGGAAGCAACTCTATCCCCTCCAAATTCAGTTCCCTGCCTCTTTCTAATCTAGAGGGTGACTGTCTCAGGCTCAGTTTCAGTGCCTAGTGGTTCAGGAAAAGGAGGGAGCTCCTAGCTTTTGGAACACTTGGTGGAAGTTTCTCAACTATGGACTGCAAGGCATCCTCTTACTCCCTCTTATTCTCCTGCTCCCTACCTTTTTGTATTACAGGTACCACATCTTTTCTCTGAACCATGAACTTAGCCCTTTCTTTTCTTTTGAATCAGAATTATGCAAAGACATTAAGGATTGAACATAAGGCACTTCCCCCCATTTCCTGCCCTCTGACAAAACAATTCTAACTATAATACAGTATAATAGTTTAAAGATCAATTTAATGGCTCCCTTTCCTCAGAATCTAAAGCATACATAGGCCAAGCAGTATTGCAGTAAAACACCATTTTCCTTTTTGTCATTGGCAGATAAGTGTAAGTAGCCCAATTCCCCAAGATCCATCCCACTGGAGTATCCTCTAGGATCCAGCCACCAGCACCAATCTTTAAAGAATTAAGATTACAGGCAAAGTTATACCAGGAAAAACCACCCGAGTATACAATATTTACAAGTGTGCACAACAGACAACCATTTGTGGCTTACTATGCACAGCCAGACAGAATACCAGACAGAATACCAGACAGAATGCCCTAGCCATGCAGGGCTGTGTTTCGACCTTAAGCTGATCAGGCTCAGGTGTGGAAAGCAGGCAAGGATTGTGAAAGGCCACTTGCAACCAGGAGGTGATTTGGCTCATACCAGATGGGGGGCAACAGACAACATACAACAGACCCCCCTTTTTACAGAGTTACAAAATTCTCAATTCAACTTAGGTCTTAGGTGAAATGATGGAAATTGCTGAGGCTGTGGTTAGGATTCAAAACAGGAAAATTCCTGGCAGTGTTGCAAGTGAATCCAGGCCTCAGCCCCAAGAACCCCCAGTCCAGGTAGGAAATGGGATCCCTGGTATTCAACCCAGAGGCCCACTTGTAGTCCCATCTGGGTTGCCAGAATATGAAACCGGCTGCCTGTAACTACTTGAGCCAATTAAGCAGAGACAGGGTTGAATCATACATGAGCATTTATTCCAATAATCCTGGCAATATGGAAGAGTAATAGGTCATCCATG